TAACAGGAAAAAAAAGTGTGTTTGTTTTCATAATATAAATGGGCACGAGAAATATATGCCAGAAGAGGATTATTTCCCTTAGAATACGGTAGGCCTAACATAGAGATCTAAATAAAAAGAAACACCAGAATACTCATTAAAACACTATTCAAACTAAACAAAATGCAGGACAGATACCAGTGTGCTTACTCAAAAGGAGTTTCTAATTAGCATGGAAAGGCTGTCAATGTGTGTTTGCAAAGCCCTATATTTGCAGAATATTGGAAAGTATTTTACAACAGGATAAAAACAATGTGCATGTTGTGCACTTATTTCCTTGACTATTTCTTTAAAAAGTATTTTGATAAAAGAAATTAACTATTGCTTGTATTTATGACTCTGAAGGTTTAGACTAAATACATGTTTATCAAATGTTGTGCTTTTGTCAAAAATGCAAGATAAACAAAACAGTGACTGCAATCAACCAATTCAGTAACAGGTATATAAACACTGAAAGAAAACAATTTGTCAGTGAAGCAAGTCCATTACAATTTTTAGAAAATTCTTTTTTAAAGATTTTATTTTTAAGTAACCTCTACACCCAATGTGGGACTCGAACTTACAACCCCTAGATCAAGAGTCGTGTGCTCTACCGACTGAGCCAGCCAGGTGCCCCAATTTTTAATTAATCAGTAATATTTTTATCCCCAATAAAGAAGCCTATAAACTACTATGGGAAATTAAACAACATGTCAAAGTACCAGAGGACTTGTGAGACGAACAAGGTCAGGTAAAATAAAACTGAATTATCAACTTAAAAAATCTAAGTGTCTCTTTACAAGTATGAATAAGAAATTTAAAATACGGTTAAACAATCCTTAGAGATATAGTCAGAAAGAAAACTTATTAAATGTACTCTTCCCATTCTACAGGGTAAAATGGAGAACAAGAGTCTTGACAAAATTAAAACTTGAACTAAGAGCATTATCTGAGGACATCAACTATCCCCTATACCTTTAACTTCTTCCATAAGGAGTCTTTCTTATTTGATAAACATGCTCAGTTTTGTATACACCCTCTGCTCTTGGGGATATGGCTTAGCAGAGTGATTCCTGGCTCTAACAGACGTGAGTGTGAATCCCAGGTCCTTCACTCATTGGCTGTATGACCTTGGCAAGTAGTTCATCTTTCTTCTGTCTCTTACTCTTCTTATACAATCTCTAATTCAGAGAAATGTTATAATAATTAAATAACACAATGCACCAAAGCCTCGGGTTCAGTCTTTCATAAAAAGTATTTAAATACATAAAAAGTATTTTTAAAATAATGTATACAAATCAATGAAGAAAAGAATGTAAACTTAAAAAAAAAAAAAGCTGTTTTGAAACTACTACAACCCCCCCTCCCGGACATTACCTGTCCTCTATCTTTTTTTTAATTGAGTTTATTGGAAGATCATCTACATACCAATATTCCCACCTTTTTAAAAAAATCTTTCTTCTCCAACCACTGCTATCTGGCTTCTGCCTCCACCGTACCACCGAAACTGCAAAGCCACAGCAATGGATAACCTACATATTACCAACGTCCAAAAACATTTCTCAGTCTTTTTCATATTTGACATGTTGCTTCACATGTTGCTACGACCATCTCCTCCTTGAACTTTCCTTTTCCCCTGACGTTGCATTCTTTCTGCCAATTTCTCTGCTCGTTCCTTTTCTGTCTCCTTAGCTAGATCCTTTTCTCGGCTTGCTCGTAGTGTAGACTCTCCCCCTTTCACTGTATCCTCTTTTCCTAGACAGTCTCATCTGCTCCCCTGGTTTCTACTGCTATCGGTAAATTGATGATTCTCAATGTTTATCTGTTTATCTCCACCTCAGGCCTCTCCAGTGACCCCCCCCCAAGAAACATATATCCATCCAACTGTCTATAACATTTCTCCATTTGGATATCTCAAGGTATTTCAAACTCAACATGTCAAGAGAATCTCATGTATCTCCCCCGCCGCCGCCCCAAATCAGCTGTTTCTCCTGAAATCCCTATCTTCGTTGATGGTATCACTTATTACCCATCAAGACGCCTGGATATGGTTCACTCATTCATTTTTAACTACTCAGTCTCAAAGTGCCATCAATTCTGTCTCTTAAATATTTAAAAAATCTGTCCACCCTTCTCATTTCCTACCACTATCTGCCTTAGCTTAGACCCCGTACCATCCCTCACCTGGACTACTACAGCAGCCCCTTACATGGTCTTGCAGTTTTCAATCAATCTTACCAACTCTTCCAATCAAATATCTATAATCCTGCCAAAATCATCTTTACAATACATAAATCTGGTTCTGCCCAAGCTGAAATAATGTCTATGGCATCCCACTGCTTAAAGAATTCATTTACTCCCACATTTAACAGATATTTATTGTCTAATGTATAACAGATACGGTGTTAGTTAGGCACTGAGTGTAACAGAGAATGAAAGCAATATTTACAGGATATAGGCATCAAACAAACCCTTAAATGTATGACCACAAATTCTGGCAAATGCAATGAAGGAAAACAACAGGTCACAAAGAGAAAAAGAGGGGAGAATTATTTCAAATTAAAATGTCATATTATTTTTGAGAAAGAAATTTCTAACTGGCATTTGATGAGTAGAAGTTGCTGTAGGGAAAAGGATTTTGGTAGAAGGAATAGCATATATAAAGCTTTTGAGAGGGAAAGAAGCATGGAGTATTAAAAGGACTAAAAGCAGACCTGTTTGTTAAGAGCTGAGTAAATGAGGGAGGGGTGTCCTGAGATAAGGCTGGAGAGACAAGGGCCAGGAGGTCACATAGGGCTCTATAAACCAAGGTATGGGTTTAGGCTGTTTTGAAGGGCAAAGGGATACAATTAAAAAGTTTTACATAGATGAAGGACATGATTAGATTTATGTTTTTAAAAGTTCACTCTGGCTTTTGCTGGGAAACAGGCTATATAGCCTGAGTGGATACAAGGAGCCCAGGTAAGAGGTGATTCTGTTAGTCCAGGTGAGAAGGACAGTGGTGGGCAGTTTCACTAATTTTTATAGAAGTTATTTTTAGGTAATACAAGCCTGGGATGTAGAAGTCCCAAGAACTTTAAAAGATGTAATCCTGCTAAACAAAAAGGCACGTAAAAAGAAAAGCTCAGGATTTAATTCACTTGGATATACTATTCACCTTTAATTTATTTCTGCTCAGAGGACTTACACTGTGTAGAGAACTACACAGTTCATTGATGATGGTCTATTACAATGCAGCTTCTGCCAAGCCTGCTCAATACTTGCCCTTTTATATAACATTTCTACTGATATGACTAAAAGGCGTATCATAGTTTAAGCCAGAAAAAGAGAGAACCTCTTGATTTCTGCCTCCAGACAAGTCTACCCTAGTTAAGCGGCATCATCATTCACCCAGACCTTGATCCAAAAATCTGAAAGTTATCCTTTATTCATCTCTTTCTGCCATATCCATACCATAAGTAAATTAAGTACCAACTTAAATTGAATAAAATATTCAATGTAATCAATGGAAATTATCCTATGTGATGAACAGAATATGAATCTGGCTATAAACTCTCTGGTAGTGATATACTATTTACATTCATATATCCTTACAAAAAAGATTATTTGATTAGAGAGTGGCTTTAAACAATAGTACAATATATTATGATATAACTGTACTTTACCTTAAGGGAGTTATTCATCACTGTTAATACCTCTACAATAAATGTATATAGATAAAATGTGTTTAATTTCTTAGTTCTCAAATTCATTCACCAACTCATTCATCATTCATTCATTCTCAAAAACAGAAAAACCTCCAGCAACACTTGTCATCTCAGGTCTATAGAGATTAATTTAAGATCAGAAGTAATTTATTTTAAAATTAGTTTCTGAATATGTCTCCAAGAAGATAGCTAAAATTAGATCTATTTCACACTACTTCAGCAACATTTAATTTCCCAAATACTATCAGCAAATGAGTCATCCTACATGTATAAACTTTCAGCCAACTAAAGCTTATGGCCTTACAGCTGAGTTTTTTTTTCCAATTTTTTGAAAAATATTTATAAGGTCTATTAAATGATCAGCTGTCTTTTTAAATAGAGAATAGTGAATATTATCGAAGTTATTCTTGATAACTTAACATCAACTTTTTTTTACCCTCTGCATCACAATACATTTAGAATCGGCCAGGGAATTCTGAGGGGCAACAGTAAAGCTGTTTGCCCTACTTCTAACAGCCTGTTTGTTTATTTTTTTATAGTCTTCCTCTTTCGATCCTTCTTTTCAGCTTCCCCTTCTTATTTTCAGAATGTCTTCCTCTACCAATCCATCCCTGTGCTGTATTTGCTCCGCTAGTAATAAAACCTGATAAGTAAGTAACCTGTCTACCTCATGAGGCTATGCTCACAGCTTTCAGGTTGATTTCACTCCTCTCCTACTACAAAAAGTGCAAGTACTAGTGGAAGCGATTTTCCCTTCTGATTGATGGCTCCAAAGCTTATCTCTGAGTTCATAATTGTATTCCTTATAGTTAAAGCTATCAGGAGTTTGACCGCTGGATAAGTGAGACATAAAACCAAGTATCATTAACAATAGCCATTTGGTAATACAGAATATTACTGTATAATATAACCTTTTCTAAATCAGCCACTAGATAATATGGTAACCTCACATTCACAATTGTACACAATTTTATGATACCTAGAATTTTAAAAAATGGATATAGCTTATATCCATTACAATATTATTATAAAAAGAGAATTTAGAGTTGGCACATGGGACCAAAGGTAGAAATTAACTTAGTTTATGTAGAAAATAATTTGAGGCCAGGGAAGTCCTTTGTACACAATACCACCTAGGGTAATTTAGCCCACAAAATACTGACTATTAGACCATAATCAAAATGAAACGCTATGAAAAAGAGAGAGAGAGCTTGGTTTATGCATTGCAATAAAACTACGGATGGATGGGCATAGCGCATCTCCTGTTGCACGCACCCTGTTGCTCGTCAAGTGACATGGATCCGAGCTGTTTGTTAACCACAGAAGAAGGAGAATCTGAAACAAAAATGAGATTTCAACTTAAAAGTAAGCAGCAGAAAACTGCACAGCAATGTCATGATCAACTCTAAGCTTAAGAAACAAATGTATAAGGGTAGGGAATAGAAGTAAGTACTGGGGTATATTTCCCAAGCAGTGAGTAAGCGGGGCCATGTGCTTAAGATAGGTTATTCCACGTAAGCATTTAGCAACGTTGAGAATGAGTTAAGAAAATATTCTTCTACTTCCATGCATACACCTTTTATCAAATTCAAATTTAGCACAGGCACAAGGTACAAGGTAGATAAAATAGAACTAGAGTATCTCCTTCACTAAACAGAAGACTCCTTCCCCTTCTCAAACCCCTTTCCAGCTCCTTAAAGAAGGCTTTCATTCTGGACTGGAGGATTCAAAGCATGAAATGAGATGCTCGCTACACTTTGCTAGATGCTGGTTGTAGTACCCTGAGCTGAAAATAGGAGCTCAAGTGAAGATGTCAGACAAAGAAAATGGTTTATAAGAGAAAAATTCAATGAAGTAATTGCCATTACAGAAACACAGATAATTTTTAAAACTCTAAGATATGTTGTGCATATTAAAACTGTACTCTGTTGAAGGCTTAGGTTTCTTTAGGGGCCTGGTGGGAAAAGAAAAAGAGAGGAAAGGAGTAGGCTTAATGGTCTGAGCTTCATGCTTTCCACCCTGGCTTTAAATAGAACATTTAATTTTTTATCCTTTTGATGCACTGAGTTTCTGTGTAAGAATTTGTCTTATAAATGTGTTCTATTGTTTGGAAAACACTGATATAAAGAAAGGCAGCATGATAAAATAGAAAGAGCACTGGTCTGGGGTTAGGGAGTTTTGATTCTAAACCTGGTTCTGACAATAATTAACTATGTGACATTTTTCGATCTAAGCTTCTCCTTTCTTCCTGGTCATCCTAGGGACCTAGTAACCTAAGCAAGGCACTGGGGAATAGAAGGAGATGGCTACCAAGCCCTGGCTTGGGCCCCAGTGTCCCAGTAGGGCGAGATGAGAAGGGAACACGTGGATAATAAGCACAGCTCTCTCCTAAATGTAAGAATAATTCTTGGTTTCTAATATCCTGTGCTCCAGTTCTTAGCAAATATTAATAAAACAAAAACCCTGCACTTTTGGATAATCACCAGCTACTATTCATCATGGCTTCATTCCCCCAAAAGTAGATAAAATATTTTGAATTGAGAGTGTCCTTAACTTGATAGCTAAGAAAAGTTTTCCAACATATCTTGGATTCTTAGCAATTTTTTATCACTTGATTGCTTCAATTTCTAAATTTAAAAATCTGAATCTTGCTACTGGGACCACTCCTATCAACTTTAAATCATCTACCTTCTGATACAACTGTTTGCTCAGGGTATTACTAGATTTTGATAAAGCATGATCATCATCTGAATAATAGCTTTGACTTATCCTTACTTATCACCTCTTCATCAGAACATTCAGTTCAACAAATCTGTACAACACCAAAAAAAAAGAAAGAAAGAATGATAGTATTTCAGTCAGTTCCTGAATCTACCCATGCTTTACTTTCCTTTATAAGACTTGTTTATCCATTTTAGAGTTAGATACAACATTCCTACCTATGTTGTTTTTTAAGAACAGATAAGTTGGTCTTTATAAAAAACCAAAATTATATTCCCTACAGTAAAGAAAAACATAACAAAAATTTGAGTCACAGTAAAATAAATATTGGAAAATCCTCCTAGGAAGTATCTTACGAAATATTTTTTGTCTCTTTGTATTTGTTATACATTTCCTTGTGCTCTTATTTATAATTAAGAGCCCTCAGAAAACTATCAACTCTCTAGGTAGGTAATCTTTTATTGAATATTTAATTTTTCCATAAATATTATATAATGTACAAATCTTATAAAATAAAGTGCACCTTATTTAATTTTTTAGATAGAGTTTAGGAAAGAATATGGCTTTAAAAAACACATTGATGAAGGATCTAGAATATGTGCTCTACTCCATTTCCCCGTAAAATATCTTTCAGAAAGCACCATTACAAGGTAAAAGTCAGACCATATGGTCTGCTGATAATTTATTACAAAATCCAATATGGTTGGTCCGCTTATTGGAAGTGTTTAGAATTATTATTTTTAAGGTAGAGATAAACTTTAGGCAAAAAGTCATTCAGTGCTGAGCTCAAGGCGTCTCAGGGCCAATTTCTGTATATTTAAAATAAAAATTTGTGTTTTGGTCATGAAAAAACTCTTTAGAATTTTCTAAATTTTCTCATCAGAATTTTTTCAATCGTAGACAAAATAAGTAATTATAGTCTTAAAGGTAAGTAACAAGTACTCATCAGCCAGACTTCTGGGTTCAATTCTGGCTTTTCTACTCAGTAATACTGTAATCCTGAACAAGTCATTTGAGGTCTATATGTCTCAGTTTCTCCATCTGTAAAATGGGGATAATCACAGTATCTACCGCATCCTGTTCTTGTGAAGACTTAATGAGATGATCCATGTAAACTACTTAGATAGCACACAGGAAAGGGTCAATTAATGTTATTATTACTAGCCTGTTTTTCAGAAACATGATATTGAATGAGAAATAATGATAGGAAGCTGTTCTGAAAACTATGGAGCATATTCCCATGCCTGAAGTGCTCAGGAGTCTATCATTAACGGTAGCTAAGAACTAAAGAACTAGATCGACATCATATCTGATTTACAAACTACTTATGCTATTAACACTAAAAACAGGATCAAATGCACCCATTTGAGAAGTGCTACATGTGACTGTCGTCACGGGACTGTGGGAAACTGGATGTAGTACAGAGCCTGCTTGCACAGGATCGGGTAAGTGCTGATTTTTTCCAATATGGCTCAGTTTTGAAAAGCCCTTTTTCAAAAATAATCACCAATGTTTTATACCCTTTTGGGGTATAAAAATTACTTTTTTCTTTTCCAATCAGCAAAACCGTGCCATAAAGTGAAAAAACAGTTCCTACCTGACCCTCTCTAGGCTGGCTCCATGCTCCAGTGGGGCTCTGTGGTGGTCGAGCCAGTACAGCAGACTCCACAGGGGGTTGTCACTCTGAGCAGGAGCCAGCAACCCATGACTTCGGGGGACCTGAAATGGAAAAAAAGAGTTGGGTTTAAAATCAGCAATACGCTGACTGCCTCTGCCATAGCTGTTTATGGCATTTGTCTTTATAGCTCATTCAAAACCCTGAATGCTATCAACTGTATATGGCTGTGATATGAGGTAGTAAGTGAAAGATACTATAATTAAGATAGTACATTATTATGTGTACTGCTCTACTTAGGAGTATAAAAATTTTATACAGTACTGTCTACCTCATCCTATGCTATCTGTAAATCATGACAGGCCACACTATCTAAATAAATCAGTAATTGGGAAACTGAGACATAAAGCAGCCAAATGACCTGTCCAAGCTAATCTAGTCATAGGAACAGGACAAGAACTCAACCAGTCTAGTACACAAGCAGTAATCTGATGAAGGCAAATTCATCTCTTTATGGTAAAAAAAAAAAAAAAAATCACTGAAAGCCCAGAAATAAGTTATGATGTATTTTCTAAAAGCCTAAGAAAAAATGCATTTTTGTTTTTAGCTTAAAAAAATATTTTAAAGTAATATATTCTGACTTTGAAAAATAAAATTATTAGAAGTTAGCTATGGTGGATCAATTTATGTCCACAATAAACAGACGATATTGTGCTTACTCATTAAGTTTAAGAACATATTTTGTTACTCAAATAAAAACTATCTCCCTGTTGAATTTCATAAATCTAATTCCTATTCTGTATTTTTATACTTTGTGTGTTCTGAAAAGACAAATTTTGCATTAAGTCTATTCATTTTTCCTCATATCCAAGATTTACTAAATGGACAAAATATATAGATTCTATTGGTTGTTCTTTGTAACAAACTATGCATGGTTTAACTTTATCTTATTTAATTACTAAATAGCGTTCCTATCACAAGTGAGGACAGAATAAAAGTGGAATTATGAAATGAACCCAGGACACGTCACAGATTAGACTTACTAGGGTCTCACATGAATGCTATGTTAAAAGCATATGATATAGAGGAAGTGAAGGGAGCAACATACACTGACTGTTAGCACTAAAGGACTCTACTACTGGCCATGTAGACAGTCTGAGGGGCCCCAATATGTGGTTTAGAAACAAAGTAAAGGTAACACGTTTCTCAACCTCAAAATGGGGCAAGGTGTCTACTGAACTTTAGCTTTTTTAAAGATTACCACAAATAGACTGATTACCAAAATACATACTATTTAATGAGAAGGATACTCAGAGTTGGTAAAATAGCATCTTATTTCACAGAGGCCACATAATCACTCTCAAGCTTTCTGGCTGTAAAAAAAAGAACCTGCTTCACTTTAAATTGGTAAGCTAGATATGAAAGGTTGAGTCTAAAAATATTTTTCTAATCTCTACAATGTACATTTCATTTCTTTCCTGCTAATGTAGACAGTTTTATATTTTATACTCAAACTCACTTTAATATTTGGTTTGTTACCTGCTAAATTTCAGTATTTTAAAAATATGTACATATGTAGGTGTATTTTAACTTCCTTATTTGGTTTTTATGTCGCATATTTTCCCTTTTGAAACACTTAAGCTAGAGTTTTATATATAGCACAAAATCATAGCAAAATGTCTTATTATTAAATGTCATGACTGTAATTTAACCAAATTCTCCAGTTAGTTTTAAGTATAGGAAAAAAATGGTCAGAGACATCTTTGCTTGGCTGATATTCCCTCTACTGAATTAAAAATCAGGTCCAGAATTTATTCCAATCACATCTATATTACAGTTACTTAAATCTATTTTATTTCACCATATTATATAATGTGCTTTTGTTATCAGCACATAAAACAGATATTTATAAAGTGGAGGTTGTTCAGTTCTACCAATATACAAACAAATTTCAAGCAATTAAATCAGAGTTCTCAAAGTAATTAATAAATACTCTAAC